TATCTATGGACCGCTCTTATCTATGGGATTTTAGGGTACGTAACGTGCTATGGGCAGGGTTTGCGTCTCGCCTTACACCCGTTTCGTTGCGTAACCGCTGCTCTAGTACGGTGTAATACGATAGAGAAATGAGGCCATCCAATGAGAGTCCTGGGTGGGCGGGGCCCAACTACACGGGGCTTGCGGAACCTACCTTGTCCAATCGCGGAATGGGCTCAAAACACAAACCGTGACATTACCCAGTATTAGCAGTACATCACTTTTCCATAACCAAATAACGTTATATAATAAAATACAAATAATAATATAAAATAGGCCTACTATATCATGATAATGCGCCAAATGAACACTTATATTGTAGAGTTTCAGTCAATTTTTTTCAGCATCTCCTTGAAGACTTTCTAAACTACAGCGTGAGTATAAGACCACACGAATGGCTGCTATTTGAGCTGTTTCCGATCATCTGTCCCTTATGGGTGAGAATATGAAAATCATGCGAAGTCCATCATTGAACATGTTGTATTCAAGTGCTCGGAAGAGTAAGAACAATTGTCTTAGAACAAAGTCGAAAGTATTGTAAGATATAGCGAGTAATGATCTCCCGAACATTTTTCAAGGCAGTAGGACTATTTCAGAAAGGAGGCATTCAAAACTGAACTACCCAAAAGACGGACGTAATTTTCCCCAAAACCTACTTAGAATTTCCGGTGAGTAAAGCCGATTTTTTCAGATAAAGTGTTTCCTCTGAAATTCGATGTTTCTTAATACTAATACACATCTTTCGAAAAAGTTCCTTGCTCTGCTCTCTACATTCGTCGTAAAGTTGTTGAATTTCAGCCCTGCAAAATGAGAAGGCTGATCGGCGAAATTGAGCCACACCGGCAACCGTCTCGAACTCTGTTTCCCACGAGGATGAATCGATCAGTGATTTTAGCTACTCACTCATGACCTCCTGTAAACATTCTGGGCATTCAAAACTTTGCCGTATTGCTTTTCGAAATGTCGTTCATTTTTGTTGACCTTCCAGTCACAGCGGTTCTATGAATTGAATTTTTTTTTACTCTATGAATTAGTTTAATATCAGATGATTCATCTTTCTTAAACTTTTTTAATGCTCCATTTGCTCATCTCTTCAGGTTTTGCTTACTACTATTATAAATCAAGGTATGAGGTGTCCAATCCACAAGAATGACCAAATTACTCAAAAGAAAATTCCTCCCTAAAATGATGTTGAGACCAATCACATAACTTTGCAGACTTAGTCGTGACTTATTCCGAACATTCCACCGGTTTTAAAAGTCTCAGGAAAAAACTGGGTCTAATTTCGACGAGCTAGTGATTCCGAATTTTTGCGGAAAAACCAAATTCTAAAAAAAAGAGCGGCACACTTGTTGAACAAACTAATATCGGATTTTCGAGGAGGTCATGACTAAGTTAAGCATATATCACTAATCGACTATATCACTTCTTGTAGTGGAGAAGAGAGTCAGATTTTATTGTCGATATGGCTCTTTTTCGTCGAGTAGGCCTTCCATTTCGCATGCTCGAAATTTAGCAAATTTGAAACATATAAAAATGAAGAAAATCTTTCTGTACCGCAGACAATTCTCTTTCGAACGCTATGTGACATTACGTAGAAAATGAGATTGGACAGGCAATATCCATCCGAATAAAAACGACATCACTTATCGGACAACCTAATATATTATATTTACCTTGACGCTGAGAGGGCAGTTTTGGGAGTTTCTTTATCAAAATTATATGATATAACTAGTTTTGATTGGAAGAATTCTTGCTCACCAGTAACGGCTACAAATGCAAAATTGGAGTTGGCTTGACTCCGGATCAGAAGCGTCGTGACAGGTCCTGTGACTAACGAAAGTATCGCTACATTGTAAATGGCGAGACCAACAAGCCGTGAGTCGTTCACGTAACGCAGCTTGAGGTTTCTGGACTCATAAGCGAGAAACAAACCAAACACTAGTAATAAACACTTATACCCGAGCACTAGACCTGAAAAATATTGATTATGTAGATCATTTCTGAACCTTCCATTGTGCCTATTCTAGCATTTTTACGACCCCCTTCTCAGGGTATCTCGAACAACGCCTTTGTATCTGTGTATCTTTCTATGTGCTCCTTGTATTCCGCAGCCAAATTGTACATCTGTACTAAAGACAAAACAACACAAGTGACGAAGGAGTCCATAAAATGTGATAGTTTCTCTCCAATGAAATGGGCAGCCATTGCAGTCCTATTTTGTTAATTTTCAATGATTACAGCTACGGGCGGAAGTGGTGTAGTGGCAAGTGGCACGCTTACCACGCGAGCGGTCCGGGATCAAATCCTGGGTCGTGAGTCGCCCGGGCCAACCAAGCCTTCCATCCCTCCGGGGTCGGTTAATTGGTACCAGACTTGTCTGGGAGGATAAAAACACTGACTTGTACATCGGCTGGCCCCCGCAAGTCATTGTATAGGCCACATCGCATTCAAACGCCACTACGAATGTACAAATGGAAGTAGAATGCGTGCCGCATCCCAAAAAGGGATTGATCAACGGCAAATGCTTTATCCTTTATCCTACCAACCATTTATCAGCTGCCATTATAAACGGCCAATAACCAAAATTTTCGAAGAACTTCGCCAATTATGTTGGTTGGTCCGCATTTACAGTTGCAGCCGGCTGCCGAATACAAAAGGTGGGTTTTTATGTGTATTTATGCAATTGTGCTTGAGAAAAATGGTTCCTCGGCAGAAGCAAATTGATTCCGTGATAGGCTAGGACTTAATATTCCCGTCCATGTCACCTGTAAGAGGACCTCAAATGCTACCATACGCTGGTTCTTTAGGTTCATCAGGAATTAGGAAGTCATGGTGTTGGCCCATGAGTACTACAGTATGACTGGGTGGACACCTGCACCGTTTACCCCTTTCGCACAACAACGACGACTGGCTGCGGCATCGGCCAGTGGCGAAGACAAGTGGATCTGCTGCGTTAACCAAGCGCAAACTAGCAATGACTTGCACTATGCGAAATCAGTTACTGCCTCATTTATGGGAAGGGTGATGTTGTCAAGTTTTTCAATTGTGACGCTTCATCCACTGGTAATACTCTGTCTACAGGATCTACAATGGCAAGCGCAACTCCTTCCCAGTTGCTCGACACGGTCAAGTAAACTTCATCGAAAATAGTGACGAGTCAATCTGCTCCACGACAACGCGCGTCCAACCACCTTCTGTCCAACGCTAAAAGGTTCCAAAACTAGGCGGGCCATAGTTGCCCATCCGCCATTTCGCCAAACCTGCCCCTACCCGATTTTCACCTTTTCCGCTTGCTGCCCGTCACCTGGAGAAAAGAGGCCCGACGACGACGACAGAAAAACTAGTGAATTTCGGAACTTGCCCCTCATAACCTTGACCAGTAGGAGATTTTTTGGATGTTCAAGAAAGTATTTAGTTTACCTATCCAAACTTCCTGCTGAGAACTTTGGCACAACTCCAAAATCGGCAGTAACATGACGTCATCATCGCTATCTGCCGGAGGCTCCTGAAAAATTACAATGTGCAGCATGTTTCGCTTGATAATGGTCCAAATTGTTGTATTAGTATCGTTTGTAAAGGATCGGAGAACCCGAACTCTAGTGCTGTAGAAACCAGAATAGAACGAATTTTGGTTATACATAATATCCACATACGATGCTGTCAGAAACATGCATTCGTGGCAATTCTTTAACAGGGGAAGCTCATCAGGTCAATACAAGTAAGTGGAAACGTGTAAGCCTTGACTCGCTCCGACACGCTAAGTTCAGAGCTGGGGTGTGTATCCGCTGCTCAGAAGCATAAAGAAAAAACATCGACAGCGGTACAGAATCGCAGGCATGAGGTTGCTGGGCCGACTACTTGGCTAGTTGAAAAGCAGTTCTGAGTTGTATCAAGGCGGATGCAGAGACATGCTGCTCACAGGATGTCAGTCGGCCGCTTGAGGCCGATGTCATAGTTGGCGAATCGCTCGATTCGCAAGCTGTGACATCGGCCTAACCTGATGACTTTTCTTTGGTTTTTGGGACGACCGCTAGAAAGTAGACTTTTCGGCGCCCTGTTGGGAAATATTTTGGAAAGTGATGTATGGAAAAAGGCATTTTATTTGGAAGAGGCGCAGGGAACCTCCAGCTTCACGTTCACATCTATAGAAAATGAAGGAGTGCTGCCGGCTTGGATAGGGCACCGTAATGTTCCGAATATTTGAGAAATGCGGATTTTTTTTACTCTTTTCTCCTCTCTCAATATTTTCTAGCAACACCACCAGAGGACTTCATATTTTGACTCTAGTGGAATGGCAAGATGTGGTGAGGCGTTGTCGAGAACCTATGAAAGGTCGCTGAGGAAAAAAAGCATCTTAGAAAGCCGTTGTAAAGGACCTGGATATGTGACAACAGTCAACTCCGCCTTTTCGACGGATCCAACCACTTGCTAGCCGTGCAGATCGCGTGATTGGTTGTGCGTCCTCGCGCGATTGCGTTACAGTATGGTGATTGGCTGCGTGGTCCTTGCGCGAATGGGTGTATACTGTAACGCGTTGCACGGAGCGCTGCTGTTTTTTCGATCGGACCTAATTGCTCACATCGTTCAATTATCGTACTCCTTTGTTTGTATTGTTGCATATGATACTGCAGTAGCATTTATTGTTGACAAAAGCCAACAATAAATGCTGCGGCGCAAGCTATTCGCACAGCCAGAGTCAACCCTGCGTTGCGCAGTTCGCAACGGCACGTTGAGAGATCCTCAACGCACGCTGTATGGGCGGAGACACAGACGGCTCGAGCATGCGAGTGTGAATGTTCGCGCGAGAGAACGTGTCTAATCGGGCGAAACTGCGCAACGTGGCCGTTGAAAACTGCGCAACGCAGGGTTGACTCTGCGCACAGCTCGTCTGGCCACACCCCTCGTTTTTTGGGAGCGGGTGGGAACGTTTTTGTTCAAGGGCTTCATCGGTAGTTTTCTTCAACCCGGTATCCAGAACTTCATTATCGATCACTTTTACCCCACTAAATCGCTCTGGGGTGTTGCTTTAAGTTCAATTTTTTACACAGTCTAGCTATTTCCTTGCTATTTTCTTCAAGATATCTATTTATTACAATAATATTGAGGATAAATAATTTAGAAGAAATATCAATATATAGTTTAATAGCAACTTAATTTCACGGGAAACAAAAGAACGAAATTCCTGAATTAGTTGTAAGTGCTCACCAGTAATGGAAATCGTTGCTCAATTCGTTGTAAGGGATCGAATACGATCCAGCACACTATAATAACTAGGTCTATGACGAAAAATGCTGCGATGACCGTATAAAATCGTCCCGAAGGAATAGGCTGAAAAACAGACTTCAACGTTAAGGGTTGAACGAATTTTTTTTACTACGGTAGGGAAATTCGTGCAATGCTTCAAACCGCATGCTAATGGCATGCTCTATCACGCTGTATGTTGATTGTGAACGTTTGTGCACATGCAAAAGGTGTGGAAAAAACGGTTGGGTTGAAAAGGGATAGACGGTAGGAGATCATGCGACGGAAGAGAGGATAGAATTAACACAATGGGAAACGGAAACGCTGGCTTGACGTAGATAGAACGCAATGATTGACGAGGTACTCTCCCTGGCCGTACCGACGGCACTGGAGCTGAACGGTAACGCTGACAGAAGACGTATTCAGAGACACTCCAGAAGCACAACAACGCACCTCGAACACCGTCGTCGCCGTCAGCGCACAACATCACGATAACAATCGCATTAGGAGTATCAAAAAGGCTCATAGAGACTTAAAGCAACGGAATGGGAGTGCTGTGTGCTGCCGACGACAGGCTTAGTGTACATGGGCGAGTGATGGGTGACCTGATTGAGAGTGTTGATCCGTCTCGTGACGGCAAGTGTACCATAAGCATTATTGGACACTTTGCGTAGTGCTGCAGCCACATACGCCTGACGTCCGACAACGGATGCGATCAGCATTCGTATGCTTTCCCATGGCGAGCCATCCTCCTACAACAACCCCGGCTAGGCTTCCGTTTGTACAACACGCAACTAACTCGACCCGTACAATTGAAAACGATCATCACAACTTACTTAAAAGAAAGATGATTGTAAGGGTGAGCGTGAGGAAAGTAAGAGCATGGATATCGTTCGGGAAAGTGATTCAATGGTGCGAGTCTGTGCGTGTGTGGATGAGGGAAACACAATAAGCGGATGACTGGTCACGATTCGTGCGCCTCAAGCGTCGTGAACGATCATGTCATAAGCACGAAATTTGCTACGAAAACTGGAATAAAAAGTAGGGATTTCAAGGGGAAAATGATAATTTCTACGAGATCGTTATGGCACAAAGAAGGCTGACTGGTATACTTCAGAATGGAACAATCTGATAGAATGTTTGCAAAGAGCACCAATTCTACTCGAACTGTTATATGACAGAATGGAATGTTCAGATACTCGAAAACTCCTTCTCTTGAAAAATGGCTTGGCGATTTTTAAAATTTTCAATCAATTAAATAATATAATTGGATTTCACTGAGGAAACCACTCGGATGATCCGAGATGTTGTAAACTCGAAAAGCCAGTGAACTTAAGGGCAGTGGGTATTCTATCTTGTTCGACCAAGAAAACAAAAGCAGAAATGATAGTTGCTGTATAAGTGAAAAAGAAACCAGCAAAAAAAAACCAAAGAACCCCTCCTGGGAACCTTTCCTGCCCCTAGAATTTCGTACGGAACGAGATCTAGAAAGGCCGATATTATCAGCGTGAACTCTGCGCTGCTGCTTTGCCTAGAAATCCGCTAATGCTGCGTCAACGGATAGGGACCAGCGGTTGGGGCTGACGACCCAGACGGAGTGTGCGTATATGACGCGATCCCACTGGTATTGGAGCGCGCAGGCCGTAATTACCACTCGGACAACTCGTCCGCGCAACACATTCTGTTCCGTTCCTCTTGCCTTGGCATCAGGCCAGCGAAGCTATTGCTCTTTTTTAGATCTTTGGGACTCAGCGAGATTTTTGAGACCCAAATTATCAGATCGATCAATTACTGAAGTCTAGTAGTTGAGTGATACGGACGAGTTGTCCGGCCGCAGCAGGATGGGCAATTGCGGCCTGTGCGCTCTAATGCCAATGGATCGCGCCATATGACGCCTCCCCCCCCCCCCCGCCGACGCGGGCACATTAGCGGAGGCAGCATTGTTCACGAGCAAGGCTTCCTTACTTTGCTAACACGGTTCTGATTGCGAAACACGCCACGTTCCTTTCTTCGGGAACCAGATTTAGATTTTTTAGATTCCCAATTTTCCGTACCCCCTGCTTTTGAGTTATGTCGGCTCTTAAATATTCGGAGTGTTCAAAGGCAGCGTGGCATATACATAGTATTGCTCAGATCATCTAAACGATTTCAGACCGGTAGTCTAAATTATAATTCATGCGCCTAATAATTCAGTGGAGGGCGGAAGTGGTGTAGTGGCAAGTGGCGCGCTTACCACGCGAGCGGTCCGGGGATCAAATCCTGGGTCGTGAGTCGCCCGGGCCAACCAAGCCTTCCATCCCTCCGGGGTCGGTTAATTGGTACCAGACTTGTCTGGGAGGATAAAAACACTGACTTGTACATCGGCTGGCCCCCGCAAGTCATTGTATAGGCCACATCGCATTCAAACGCCACTACGAATGTACAAATGGAAGTAGAATGCGTGCCGCATCCCAAAAAGGGATTGATCAACGGCAAATGCTTTATCCTTTATCTTTTAATAATTCATGATTAACGATGTTATTGCTGTATTTAGGAAGCCTATCGCGCGGCAAGGGCATACAGATATAGAGGAATTATGGCGGGTTGCCTACCCTGCATTGCTTGGTTTCTGCGCTGTCTTCTCCACTACAGCTTATCTAATCAACGCTATGCGCGAAAACTCACCTACTGACCGTCTCCGACTCCTTGCCATAAGGTAGGCTTCCTGATGGACATGCATTGGCCACAGTTGAGACTAATGAATGAATGGGCGGTATCAGAGTATAGTTTAGAGTTTTAGATAAACTGTTACAGGAGTTGGACTTATTTTTAGCGCAGATGGAAGTGGTGTAATGGTTACAACAATTCTCAAAAGTCGCCATGCACCGTGTCGCGTGCGATTAGAAAGATTACAAAGTCCGGTGAGTGACCGCAACCGTAACACGTGACTGGTTGGCGCGCAACGTCACGTGTCATCGATTAGAATTCGACGTGCCCTTTTGTCGTTTTTCCGCGCACTCCACGGCGACAGAATGGGCGTGATAGAACCTGGCTCTTGTACGGAGCGTCCGTGCTGGTATATAGGAGGAGTATGGCAGTTGGTCGAACTTGCCGGCAAGTGGTTTGGCGGCACCCCGGGGCTAACCTCCCTTGCCCTGCGCGCGAAGCGCGCGCAGCCGACTATCCAAAAATGCACGCAGCGCTCGCCTGGCCGCTTGCGCGGCGAGGCGAGCGCTGCGTGTATTTTGGATAGTCGCCCAAGGGCGGCTGTGGTGGTTGGGGGTATTGTGCACTCGCCAGCGAGGCATTATACCCTCTCACGTTGGTGCTGAAACGTGTGGGTACACAGCAGTAGTGTAGCTGCGCGCTCCAGTGCCAACGTGGATTACGGTAGCGGTCACTCATCGGACTGTTAAAACCGGCTTGTGCCGCGTGCGCAACCGCGCCAAACTCATTCTCGCCGTGCGGGAGGCTTACGCACTGCGAGGACGAGTTGACAGGCTGCAATAAGTTGATTGTTGCGCTAGAAGTAAGTTTCGAGTACATGAAGATTCCATCAGATAATGACGACAGTTGAACTGAAGCCATTTTAGTCATTTTGTTTTTACTTTTGCATTATTCAATTCCAACGTATACATTCGAGCTTGCTAAGTTGCCACAAATGCTACAAAATGCAATAAAATTCGTTGCTTTTTCTGTGGCTCGTTGATGCTTGCAGCGAATAACTCTTACCTTGTCCTCATGGGTGTTCAGTAATGGTTTGTACTGGAAATTAGTATAGTTACTGCAATACGAAAGACACTGTATGGCTAAATGGTCAGCGAAGAAAGAACAAAATACAATACACAATCGACATGTGTATATGTACATGTAGCGATCGGCAGGCGACAAGTGATGACGAATTTTAGTCGAATAAAAATAGAAACAGCAAGAAAAAAAAACGTCGTCAACAATCTACAGATGCTCTTAAGAATTATACCTCGTCTTTTTGCCGGCTAGCAAGTTGTTGATTTTCACTGGCACTCATTCGATGCACTATCCATACTTTCGCAAACATCGACCCGTACGCAAAAGTGAAGCCAATCATCAGGATGGAAATTCGAGACTGAATAGCATTTTCATTAAATTAAAAAAAATACTTGCGGATCGAGTAAATTCGAACTCAAGACGTCATCTATACAATTCATAGAAGGCACATCGCGCTATCGCGTGCGCGACGTGACGGCGATTGAGGACACAAACAATCTATCAGTATGGCTACCTAAGTTCCACCGTAACCACTTTGCACTGGGGCGCGTTGTTGAACATTGGAGCGCGCAATCCGACCACCGTACCTGTACACAAGTAATCTAATCGGAACTCATCCTGGAGTTGTACAGGATCTAGTTCCGCAAACAAGCCCCATCATAACGTATAGAAGAAACTACAATGTACGCTCGCGAGCAGTAAGAGAGGTTGACAGGCAATCTCAATTCCACAAGTCTTTTTTTCCTTCGTTCAAATTTCAGCCTGATACCTGTTTTTGAGGTTTAACCATGACACGCTTGGAATGGTAGTGGTTGACTCGGCTGGAAATGTAAGTTGTTGTTCCGCAGGCGAGTCTCACCTGACCGTCGCCTTACCATACTCCTCTTTTTACTGCAATGATACAGTTGACGATTATGTTCTCGTCGTGACTCTCGTCGTTGAGTGCGCAGAGAAAACGACGAAAACAAATCAATAAGATGAGACGCAGAGTCAACCCTGCGTTGCGCAGTTCTCAACGGCCACGTTGCGCAGTTTCGCCCGATTAGACACGTTCTCTCGCGCGAACATTCACACTCGCATGCTCGAGCCGTCTGCGTCTCCGCCCATACAGCGTGCGTTGAGGATCTCTCAACGTGCCGTTGCGAACTGCGCAACGCAGGGTTGACTCTGATTGCGCGCTCCAACGCGAACGCGGTTACGGTGGAACCTACGCAACCACACTGAGAATTTCGTTTCAGTATAAGAGTGGCCAGCCACAGAAATGAGAGCTAAGGCCGGAAAGGCGCTTTTGATTGGCTGGCCACACCCCATCCCGCCCACACCGCAACACCAACCATATCTTCATACACCGTATCGGAGAAACAATATTAGCATTGTTCTATGGCTCATGGAATGCCTACTTTTCTATTTATATTTGTTAAGAATGTCCTTATCAAATGCCGAAGGACTGCATTTCTTATTATTTTTTCAGTTTCCAGTTCTGTGACTTCTCCGATCAATATTGTGTCATTATTGTGAAGCTATGGAATTGCACACATCCGTAAACCTTTCAACCGAATTAGCAACAGACCTGTCTCTGAGCAGGTTAGTGTGAATTAAATCATGGGAAACCTTTACTTCTTAAGCGGAGAACAAGTTAGTATATAAATTATCCACAGCGACATCCCCCCCCAATGTTGGGAAGCGAAGTCACATTATGCCTAATAAGACTTGCGCTTTCTCAGTCGCGCTCCAGCTGCCTCGCCGAAGTCAATTGTGGTCAAAGTTACTTGTGGTTGAAAATTTCCCAACAAGGGGGTGGGGGTAGGCTTACTTTTGGTACACAGTCAATTTCGATTATTTCTCCCACCACGACTCCTTTTAAAAATTTAAACAGACTATTCCTGAACTGTTATTCCAGGAGGTGTCTATACCGTATGTACACCTCCCCCCCCCCACCTGCTTCGATGAGAAGGAATTTCGAAGCGAAGTTGAATTGTGTCAAGTGACGGTAGGTTTATCCACATTATCTACACCATCACCCGTTGGAGGGGTGTGGATGACACGCTTTGGCTAGATCTCATGATTTCAAGGCACATTCCATTACCAGAATTACTCTACCCAAAAGTTTCCATGATCAACATTACACTGTCTCAAAACGAAGGGAAAATATGGATGCAATGGTCATCATTGAAGAAAAAAGCAATTAAATCAAAGGAATCGACAAGAAATGAGGGCTTCCTTTCTGGGAGGTGAGCAGAGCTGCGAGGAAAGGGCACTGCGTTTCGAAGGGAGAGCTCAGACGGGAGACAAGATTACATTGTTCCCTCCCGGCGCTTGCATACCGTAGACCACGTCTGCGCCAGAGCGCAGTTGCAAGCTTTTCAACACACGACGTCCAATACTAGTGTGAGTACCCAACACAATCAACGACGCCGCACCAGTTCTTCAGGGCAACGACCCAAAAATGGGAGCGGCGTCGCATCGTCCGCTCCGCGCGCGGGCAGAGGGAGGTCAGACGTGGGGCTAAATCCACGCGCGCGCCATCCTTCATCTTCTACATAAACGGCGCGTAGTATACATAGTTGGTGGGTTTGCTAGACGCATTCTCTCTTCGTTGAGAGAGCGCAGAGAAAACGAGAACTGGGAGGCGAGCACGCATGGAAAATCGATGACACGAAATATGCGAGACAAATTTGCGCGTGTGGTAGGGTGCCTGTTGTGCGCCTGCACCACTAACATCGAACCTGACGGCGAATTTTTCGCGTGTTGGGTTACGGTACGCAAGCGCCGGTAGGGAACATTATAATCTACAAGACGGGAGAGCATAAAGACAATGGAGAAGCAGGCATCCTGAGTGGATCATTGGTTGCAAATAATGGATGTAGTCTGTTCAAGCCAAGTGACTAACCTTAGCTCTTTTATCGCCCCTATTTGTGCAGAGGGAACGGTACATTTTCTACCGCTGTGAAGGGCTCTATCCTGTTCACGGTAGGGATTGGTTGGTCAGGTTCCACCATGAAGTGCGGCTCCAAGTGTTTTTATACACGTGCAAATTTATTTCAGCTTTTAATTTCCTTATATTTTATATTGCTTTGAATTGTTTTTCATTTTGTTTTGAAAGAAATTTAATTTAATTTATTTGAAGTTTTCGAGAGGGGAAAATTAGGTGTTTTTTCTTCTTCAAGACTGTAGTTAAGTTCTTTCCAGCAATGTCGTACGGCAATTCGCCACATAAGATGATCTAACAAAGTGCAATCAATTAGAAAAAAAAAACTCACATGGCAAAGTATGGAGAATGCCGATTGAGGCAATGAAATACCCTCGGAGGGCAAGCCCATGAGAAATAATGAAGCGATGCATAGCGAACAACCGGTGATCAGAATGTTATTACATTGTGGTTGTGATTGAACAATAATCCTGAAACATATAAATATTACGAATACGGGCCAGCCTACCAATTAGCAAAATAACAACAATTCTGTGTCCATCACTGCGGGAGCAGAGCATAAAAACCCTCTAAAAAAAGATATTAAAGACTTGGTCATTGCCTCACTCCCATTTAGAACTTCTCAAAATTAGCGATTTCTCCGACTGCTTATCAGGTTTTGGACTTTCAAGATATTTTAAGCTCGGAATTCCAAGTTTTTCCTTAGAAGGGCGTTCCTTCTCAAATTGGTAGCGTGAGTCACGACACGCGTGAGGAGCGCGATTGCAGCGCGTCACGGCTTTCTTCGCATTTGGCCAAAAGGACGTACATGTGAGTTGTCGCGCGCGATTGCGCCCTTGTTCGACAGACATTGCCGTCAGGGAGAAATGCTCTATTTCATGGCTTGTTCCTATCGCGAGTCACACAATTAACCGATCGTCACGCGTGACAAGACTGGCGACAATTGTGTCACGTCGTGTAGAGCGGGCGGTTTGTATAGGTGATGTTGCAGCTAAGGTCAGCCATCGCTAGAATATTCAGAGGGTGGTATTTTACTTTTGAAGAGACGAGGATTTTTCCGAGGGAATCGGTAGTGGAGTTTCAGAGAAGGCGAAAACGTCAATTACCTAGATTTCGATGCTTGTAATGAAAGATACAGGTTAGAAAAAAAAACAGGAAAACGCGAAAAAGTCACCAAATCTCTTGAAATTTTCTCTTTTGTTTATGCATGCCTAATCGTATAATAATAATAATCCTGACTTGATTTGTTTTTGATTGTTAACTGCTGTTTTTGGCCGCAGTTCGCCTTGCGAATGTTTCACAAGAATGCTGGGTTGTGAACAAAACTTTCGCCCCAGGCGGGACTAGAACCCGCACCTCTCGCTTTCCGGGCAAGTGCGCTACCAGTTACGCTACCGGGGCACCATTTCATCCCAACTCAGCTTTTCATGGTATACGTACCATAATTTTCAGCACTCACACGTATATGTGTCGAGCCGGTTGGCCGACATCGGAAGGCGAGAGGTGCGGGTTCGAATCCCGCCTGGGGCGAAAGTTTTATCCATTACCCAGCATTATTGTAAAACCTGATTCGCTTCTTCTTTTCGCTGCCGCTGTACGCAATTGTAGCAGGAACTACGATCCCCTGTTCGAAGAAGAGCGAAAACAGTGTAGCCTCTTCGGGGTTCGGGCAAATTTTTCATTTAGCAATTATCCGCAGAAGACTGATGACATATGGGAGTTGCGTTTTTCCTTCGTTAAAAAGTAAAACGAATGATGTCAATTGAAATGAATGTTGAAAAACTTCAGAAAGAGTAACTTTTAACGCAGAAGGAGCTCTGCCCTCTAACGACCTAAAAAGCCCAGGTAATCAACAGTTTTCCTGGTTTTAACCCTGCGCTAATGGTAAGCATACCAATACCTTTCTCTGTTAGTTACACCATTGAAAATAACTCATAATGTTTAGGAGAGGTGAAATAAAAGGGAAAAAGAGGAAAATAGAGGAAGGTGTTTGGCCAGCGTTTTTGCCCGCAGCGCTTAAAGACAAGGAGCATTATCAAATCGTTGTGGAGCAATCTCGATTATGGAAGTAGGGATGCGAAGGGGACCGTAAGTGGAGCAAAAAGGAAAAATACAAGCATAGTTGCTTGAGAAGTCTACGAAACAGATAACGGTATAAGGGATAATGCGAGCCGCGGAGAGGAAAAAGAATATTGAGTCAAGGGGAAACGTGCGTTTCTCCTCCTGGGTCAGGTCACCACAGTTGCGCGATCATTGAAGCTTAAGGTTAAGTTTGGGTTTAGACTTAGGTTAAGGCTTATGCTTACACATTGGCTTATGCCTATTGGGCCTAGGCTTAGTCCTAAGCTTGCTCCGAGCGAATGAACGGCGTCTCAATTTTAGGTGACCTGACCCCAGGAGGAGAAACGCTACGCACCCGAGTCAAGGCCGTAGACCAACACTATGACATTGTCACTACGATCAAATGATGAGAGGGCACGGATCCTTCCGCGCGTAGGAAGATCGTTCAAAGCGTCCTGGGTTTTGGTGATGCCCTTGAAGGCACGAGTGTGGTGCGATCACTGCTGGGCGTAGCTCTGTCACGAGAAAGACTTTTTAGTTAGGCTGAGCTGGACCCCTGCCTATAATGTTGGACAGACGCAAGACGCGGGTCGTACCTTGGTCTTTTAAACAACACCTCACTACATAAAGCCCATTAACAAGCTTCTAGTAAGGGCAACGCTTGATAAGTTTGAAAAGTACTCACCCACGAAAAGCATATTTATTGTTGAAAATGAAGGCCCCTAATGCCAACGCCAGTCCGATGAACGCAAAAACAGCAACAGCATAATAGAGCTGAAAAGGCAACGGCATCACTTGTACAGCATACCACACCACTCTTTTGAAATGAGTAATTCTCATGACGAGCGTTCAATTTTGTTTTCGTCCCCGTCACGTGCAGCAGCACTAATACTGTAATCTCATGTATGGTAACCTGTTGAAGGCAAATTCCACCATCAAAAAATCCGTTTTTTTGAGCATGAAAAGAGTTGCAAAGGTGACGTTCGGTGAAAAAAATGCAAAAGAATCCAACAAAAACACCGAAATTGAGGACCCCGTTTTTGTCAATGCGACAACGAAGAGACACTGCGCGCCAAGGAGAGAGAACAAGCAGCACGCGAGACGCACACCTGCAACTGCAGCGACCGGAAACAAGTGACAAGACCTTAGCGCAATCAACTCACTCGACACTTTCGGTTAATGTCATACATAGTTTTGGTGCTAGCGTAGTTGAGGGGGACTGTGTCGCGGCGGCGCGGCGTCTTTTCGTCTGCGCTCTCCAACGCTTAGCCTTGAGGGGCCGCTACCGTCGCCTCCGCAATGTAATAATTACTGTTATACCGTTATCGACGGGAGAGCGCAGAAAACAGAGCCCCGCGCTATACCGGGCTCCATGGAATAGCTCACCGGCGGCGCGGATGCGAGCGCGTGCGGGTGACGTCAATTTGACGTCACAGCAGCGGGAGGATTGAGCAAGACAGGCGCCATACTTTATAACATACGTATTAGACACTATCGACTCTGACTTCACTGTGCAGTGAGTAGAAGTAATAACGAAGAATGGACTTATGAAATCAACTTCGACTTAATTGCGCACTCGTTAGGTTTTAAATACGAAACCGTTCATTTCTCACATTCGCAAACAAATTCCTAATTTTCGACGGCGAAAATTGTACCTACACACAATACAACCTCTTTGCTCACGGCACTACTGATTGCACTAATTAGTGAGTGCCAGCAACCCTTCTATCATCCGAGCGAAGTGACAGCAACGCTCGTCCTCTCGTCGCCGTTTGTCGCAGCTGTGACGTCATCTGCACGCGCTCGCGTCCGCGCCGCGGGTGAGCTTTTATCTCCCCCGCGCACTGCTGCCCCTTCAGTTACGTTAGCACTATCCTTTTTATAGGTTATAAAAGTGCAGCAAATGATGATGTCTTTACCTCGCTGGCAACAGTAAGGATCGACTCGCGAATGATCGTCGAATCTGGAGGTGGACCCTTGCTCGAGTACCATTGCTCTTTGTTATACCATTCCAGTTCTTGTGTTGTCGTATCATAAAAACCCATCACAACATATTTACCGTCTGAACAAAAAGAAAATACTATTTTTTTCCAGGGAATGTATCTCAATATTCAGGGTCACCCACTTTGCATTTGTTCGATTTGAGTGCGAGCTATTCGATCACCAGAATCGGAAAACATCACTCGTCCCTGAAAACAGTAATGGTGTGATGAAATCACGACACAAAAACGATATTGATTTATGAGATATGTGTATTCTTCTACCGAAACTCCTTTGAACAAGGTGTTCTTGACACATTCGAAAAGGATATCGGCCATTTCCTGGTTATCATAGCTAAACTGCTCCAATCGAACACCTGGTGGTAGCCGATTCCGCGTACAGTTGAACGCTAACGCCAACGCCCTGAATCGTCATAAATTGGTCTGAGAACAGAATGTGAATCGAATATCGTCGTTCTATGCCTTTAAGCTCCCAGTAGTGCCCTTCGAACGAGAATTCGCCTCAAATTGCAGGGCCTAGCTGCAGTGCAACTCATGTTTTTATCCTCCTAGCCGAGACTTGCTTGATATCCAATTGGTCTTTGGAAGCTTGCTCCAGTTGAACGAAAAATAATTTAGGAGTTGCTCCCGGACAATGAGTTTCGTAGCAGCGCCACTTGGCTGCTCGAGTGCAAGACTCCAATTGAAACCTTTGCTAGCATACCCTCCCTTTCAGAAGACGAGAAGAGCGCCGGATGCAGACCATACAGCACAAGTCACGATGGCCTGCGAGGAAATCTGGGACGGTAGTAATCTACCCTAAACTGGCTGTTAAGAATAACGGTCATATGCCCGTAAAGGAGAAAGAACGATTTGAAGTTGGAAGGTAACAGATTAGAAACGCGCAACTTCGCGACATCGTGAAGCAAAACTTCTGACCCTCCACGAGACCGAACCCTGGTCATGCGCAGCTGAACCGCTATCGCTTGCCACTGCACCACGGAACAGTCAAACTTGCGGACTCGACCCTTCTTGAATCCCCCAGCCTCGCCACACTATCCTGCAAAACTTGCGCCACTCTCGGACTTGAACCCTGGATGACAGGACTCAAAGCCGGGTTTTTGCCAGTGCACCAGGGATCACTCGATCACAGCATCGGAAGAGGTCTTGACAACAGGTAAGCAACGGATGTTGTTTGCAAATCTTAGACTCCAAGCGGTGTAGATCCAGCAACCTTGCCAGCGGCAGCGTGGAACGTTCCTATTGAGCCATGGTAATTTGCCATAGTGGAAGTGGTGAGCCCCACGTTGCCTGCAAACCTTGCGTCACACACGGGTTTGAACTTTCGGTGCACCGTCCCATGAGCGGCATCGCTACCACTGCACTAAGGAGCCCTTCTTATCGACGGTGAAAGGGTTGTAGAGAAAAGGGAATAGCCTACGAAGGTTGCAAACCTTTAGAATCTCGGAAAATTGATCCCGTGACCGATCCAACAGTTGCAAACCTTTAGTAATCTGGGAAAATTGATCCCATGACCGATCCAACAGTTGCAAACCTTTAGTAATCTCGGAAAATTGATCCCGTGACCGATCCAACACAACGTGGACCGCAGGCGCTACACCATTGACGAATCAATGCAAGGTGCCTCCCTTTCCCTTTCCAACACCGTGCTTTGACCCACGCACCTGGCAGTTTGAAGTTGGCCAACTCCAAAAAGTCCTCCGAAGGACTTTTTGCTGCGCGTAACGGGCGTCACCTGCGTCTCTCCAAACACATTGTATTTCGCCCCTCCGCGTCCCGTTTTCTGTCAGCGAGCCCTTCCTGCGCGTTTTACGGCTGCGCGTAACAAGGAACCACCCTGCCAGGGAGCTGCAGCTCACCTGGGAAGCTTTCTTCAGAGTTTCATAAATAGGTCTCCTAGGTGCCATAGAAGCGATTTCCACCATCATCGGAAAAACTTGCACCTCCACGTTACGTGCTCATTAAACTGCCCGTTAACGTGCAAGTTTGGCTAGTTTACTACCGTCCCTGGTTAGTAGTGGTCTAAGTGATAGCTGATTTTGGTAAATGATAGTAATTAGTGACAACTGATAGAATACAACTGCAACAGGCTAATCATTTCATTGGCAGAAAACATTAACATTTTGAGGCCGTCGTCACTTGTGGTGTATGGTCTGCACCCGACGCTCTTCTCGTCTTTGAAAAGCAAGTATAGGAGACTGTATTACCCGAGGAAAGGCTCTTCTTGCGACCAAGATTAAGAAAAGCAGCTTCGAAGCCACAATCAAAAAATATAGGAAGAGATTCACCCAAAATACAGTGCATTCTGCAATTGAGTGCACGTTCATTCTGCAATTTCCCGAGGTCTATAAATGCAAATTGAATGAACTCGAAAAAACTCGATATCATGTGTGTTTCCTATCGCTCTTGATGTTATCTGATGTCAGTGCGCTGCATAGTTTGCAGTTAGGAGAGGCCCTTGGGAAAGTACATACTTATCTTCGTGTAACACCCAACAAAGATAAACACTTATTTTCTCTTGTGATGAGATCCGAAGATGGAGATGTTAGGAAGGCATCGCCCGTGATTGGTGGTCGTGAATAACCCACCAACCACAACCGTTGTACCTCTTATCCAGGCGTCTGACAGAATTGACACTTGCGGCCAAATTTAAATAAGCCATAATTGGATAGAAATGAACATTAGTACTATTTTCCAAATAAATTCACCATTCCATTTATTTTCTTTCTATTCGCCGGCAAAGAAAGGATCAATTCCCCGGCGCGCTTCCTTTTTTCAGATGGCTCACAAATACTCGACATTCAGGACGCAAAGCGTGTGTAATGTCCCCGGGAGGTTTTGCGCATATCAGCATAAGCGAATTTGCCATTCTCACTAGGGAGCGCCCCCAATCTAGCAACGTAATCAATTCTGCACTTTCTCGACGTTTCTCAATAACTTTCACTTCTATCTACTAGTGAGGTTCCAGAAGAGGCTCACTTGACAAGTACTGGCATCCGCTGCCAAATGAACTTACAGGCTTCAACCATTCGTCGCCGCAATGTTAATTAGACCTCACTATCTGCTTCGTAGTTTACACCTCCGTGTAATTCAGAATTGGCAAAATGAGCTTACCATACAGCATCGTAGGCAAGTGGAGCCTCTGGAAATCCTCCGGTATTCGCTGGATCAGAATCTGGTGACAGCATAGCCGTGAGACGTGCTTGAAACTCTCGTCCGGTCATACCGGATATTGTAGCGTTCTCATCTCGAGACAACATCACGCTCTCCGTGGTAAAGTGATACTGTGCCGCTTCAACCATCTGCAAGTTCAAGCTTTCGAACGAAGAGCTATTTAGAACACACCTTCTCCTAGCCAGAGCTTTGCCAGACTCAGAGAACAATAATAAGTAGCTGTCTTACCTGCTCAGCGGTGCAGTTCAAATGCTCTTCAGGTGGTGGAATGTACCAGGTGTCAGCATACCATCCAATGAAAAACCATGTATACTTGCGACCATACAATTTGTGATGATATGCCTAGATTCGGAAGTAACTACTAGTCAATAATGCTCACATATTCCACGTTCTCGATCAGGCTCAAAATTCATGAACCCGGCTGAGCTGTCCATTTGCCGTGGCTCCAGCTCTATCAACTTCGCTTGCGTCATGTGACTCTTTGGGGTTGCCACAGTCAATTCTTCAGGGAATTCTCGAGAAACATATTCGTTCAACAACTGGGCCTAGGCTAATGAGCGCGGCAAATCGGCTTATCCCTATGCCAATCTGTCTGTGAAGCATTTTGGAGGTTTGTGCACTCGTGCGACTGACATTGGCCGGCTGAGTGACGATGAAAAAGACGAGAAGGAGGAGGAGGAGAAGAATTCGGGTGAGAGTGACGTGCCTCAACGACAAACCCGGGGGAATTCGAGGCTCACTGATAAATTCGGCATTATCGCACAACAATCTTGTCGTAGGGCATTTCATGATGAACAATCTATTCGTATTTAACCCGAATCCTCAGGGAACAGCCTCTTCAAAATTTAGCCATTTTCGAAGGCAATGTCAATTTCAAAAATAAAGAGCTTAATCTGTAGGATCTTACCTGGCAGAGGACTTTCCTCGCTTCCGTCACATAGAACAGACCGACGATAACCCGGGCATCTTGCCGACGTAGTGTCTTCATGGCGTCGGTTGGATCACCATAGAAACTTTGACGTTCAACACGAATGCCTTTACGACGTCCCAGTTCCTTCAATATGAAAGTTTCAGTTATTAAGGATGACACAACCAAAATTCTTACAAGTATTACCAAAGAGCAAGCCAATTTTTGAGCTCATACAGAGTTATTGACCATTGATTAACACATTGCGGACCGCCGTTGCATGAGTACCTTCGTATCTTTTTATATTTTTCAAAAATGTATCATCATTAATCTATCAACAATTTTATCAGTGATGACACGTATGGTTTCCCGGCTCTGAAAATGAGTGCAAACAGTTCAGGAGCATTGAAAAATGTCAAATAAATCAGATAAACTATGCTGTTTCGTGCGAAATCGTGCGCCACATGGTGGCGCACGCGGTACGCAATGTGTTAATTTTTTTTCGAAGTAAATGAATTGAGCCGCGCATAACGCCGGTCGCCAAGGGGTTAATTCACAATATCCTCAGATATCAGAGCACATCTCATGCTCCGCATTGAAAGAAAGTGCGAGAAAAAAAAACCTCCAAATTATCCCTTCTGATTGCTTCGAGTTGAGTCTGAGTCTCGTATGAATATCCTATGACGCGTAGTAGCGAGATTCTTCGGGCAAATACTCTTGCGTTCGATTTTCAGTTCAACTCCTGTTTTCCCCACATAAAGCGCGTTTGAGATGGGCAACTCACAATCAGACGAGAGCACGCAGTAAGCGTTAGGCGTGCTCTTCCCTACCAACTAGCCCTCCCAAGCCCAAAGGTCTGCAAACTCATTGTTTAGCCCTAGCAGCTTCTCGACATATCATCTGGAAAGCGGAGTGCTGTCCAAAATTTTCTGTGTGAAGAAAATCAACCGGTGGTAACATTTTACATTGAAAACCAGTACCGGGTGATTTCAGTGTTTGAATAATAGAAACAAATCATCGCAATTTTTATAGGAGTGGAATCAACGACCACTTCTTTGTGCTGATGGCTTTTATTTTCTTCAATTTTTTTTACACTGAAACTTATATTTATTTTCTATCTAAAGAAGGTCAGAAACGTGATTTCAACATGAGTCCAGAGAGAAATCTCATTCAAGTCTAAGCTCAGATTAATTCCGGCATGTACGATTGTAGAATTTCCAGTTTGATTCCGGCATTCAAAATGGCCTACGTCGAAATTTCGGCATCTTTACATATAGCACCCTTGGGTGTTTCTATGAAGCGCACGCATCAAAAAAACAAATAAATAACCATTGCAATGAATCTTCAACTGGACGTACCTCGAGATCTTTGGCGGTCGATGTGAAAACCTCTTCAACCGACTGAAGTATGGTGATCTTTTTCCAGTGAAACTTTTCGAACAGTCGCATCCTGAAGCATAAACGCTCTACACTTTCAGTTTTGCCAAGAAACAGGACCAGACAAAGGTATTCGCCTTTAGGTGTTCATGTGCACTACTCTTTCACTTGAACAAACTCTTAAATTTTTAGATTTCAAAGCAAAAAGTCAAAAAGAAATGGTTTGTTGTGAAGAAAAACCATGAGGAACGGCCTAGAGCTAGAGAAATGGTTCCTTGTCCATTGATTTCCAAATAGATGCCACTCTATCGCTACTGCGCTCTTCAACGCTAACGCTAACTCCTAAACGGCTTAGGGGCTCAGACAGCGAAAGTGGGGCGTACCACGCCCATAGCGCGCCTATATCGCAGCGGGGAGGGCCATGCTGGCTTGCCGGGACATATTCTTTGTTGCGAATTGCGTGCCAGTCCGCACACTTAGTTGGAGGGGGAGGGCGCCTGTATTTCGACTATGTAAGTTTCCCCTTCCTCGACATCCGTCTTTATCGTAGAATCCACCTTCATCCACCTTCAAGAAAGAAAGTTGAGCCCAAAAACTATTATAGTTTGGCGAGAACTTCCGACCGCTTCTTCAAAGTTGAGTGTGAAATGGTCCCACACATAGCTTGATAGCTCAGTAGCAATGGCAGTAAAATGGCCACATACATACTACTCACCGTGTCGGATTTTGCATGTTTGCTGACGGATGTGTTCGAAACAGTGTAGGAAATCGGTCCCTATTCGATAATGCTGGAGAGCTGGCGCCATATGAAACCTGAAATGGTCATTTTCAACTTCTACTTAATTTCTGAATGGGTCGTTTTCAAAAAGGAATCCGTTTCTCATGAAAAGTGAAACACAAAGCATATGATTCAATCCTTATTTTGATAGACCGGTTACACATTATTAAAATTCGTGGTTAAATTCGAGTGCAGTTTTTTCCACATAATGGGCCACACATGCCACCAGTTGTAGAGGTATGCCTTAAAATTGGAAACAAGTAAATATGGGACAGAAAATGCAGTTCAGATTGAAACGCGATGAAACATCAGGAAAACATTCGGAAATATTGGTGCTACACACGTCTCTAGCAGAGTGAGAATCGATCGAGGATTCGTCGGCGACTCGTCGAGGATTTTGCCTGTCAGTCACGCTCTCCCGCGCGGACATTCACTCTCGCCACGCGCGAGCCGTCTGTGCTCTCCGCGCGTAAGTTCACTCTCGACACTATTCTCACACGATACAAAGCCATGGTCGAGGGTGCACTTCAAGGTCACGTCAAAGAGTAGTCATAGAACAGTTTTGCTCAAAGCAGTATCTTCTTCCCATATCCCTGATACATACTTCGCAGTCGTGAGGCCTTTTTTGACAGGATGAGCGCTGTTCATAAGGTGGTAGGAATTTTAGCCCAAACCATCGCTTAAGAGTTGAACAGCGGTGAACGAGAAGTTATGAAGACCTCTTTGTCAGTTTTAGCAATCCTGTAGGCAAGAGTGGACGTACAAGTCCTCTCTACGTTGAACAAGGCTTTGTTCGTGAAAAATGTGTGATGTCAGCGAACCTTCCGAGTCCACTGCGGTTTAATTTTGATGTGATGTGATGTGATGCTGAAGGCAACCTAGCCCATGATCTTTTATATAAGTCTTCCTTTAAGATTGATAATTGTAGAGTTTATTGACGATTCACTCCAAAATGCGATTTTTGTTCCATAGTACTTACTTTGTTACCGTAATTATGACGGATAAGCCACTGTTCTCCCCGTAGACGAGTATGGTACCAACTAACCAATCCCAGAAGCATAGAAAGCTTGTTTGGCCTGGACGAAATTCAATCGGGAAATTGATCCACAGACCATGCGGTTGGGATGCGATGTGGTACATGTTACTACATCATCTCCCTCCATCCATTCTCTCCGTATAATTAACGATGTTTTATGCTCGCGTTCACATCTCACCACAGCAACTCAGTTCAGTGTTCCTTGAAGGGCTACACGGAAAATGTCCAACCCATGGTCAACCCTGAGTTACCACTAGAAGGGCCAACTGCTGCTGAGCCTAATAAAGAATAAAAGAATAAAGCGTTCGGCGTAGTCAGTCCCGCTTCAGGATGCGCTACGCATTCCATTTTCATTCAGAATCCTATTGGCTACACCTTGGCGCAATCTATCTTGGCCATAACATGAACTTTCTGCGATTCACACGCATTTCGAAAATGCCAAAAAAGTCATTTCTTGAAAAAAGCCCGAAGCTCGCATCGTCGGTTCTGCTAACAACGCCAAAGGCTTCGCGCAGAAAACACACTTTTGGAATTTATCTCCAGAAATCGCACTTGTGAACACATTCAGCAAATAAGAAAACTTCTCATACCGATCCTTATGGTTGTCCCGATCGGCCTATTCGTCGAATTCGAAAATCCTTCTCACTGCTTAGAAAGCTTTTTCATTTATTCTATGAATCACTATTAATCAATATGGGTTGCATTGGGGAAAGAGAAAGAAAACACATCCTCACCAGTATGTTTCTTGAGTGAAAGGTTTCAAACAAATGAATAAGTAATGAAGGCAAATGGGAAGCCAAGCGAAATGGGAGAAGAACGGGAAAGCTTGAATCTTCATCATCAGATGCTATAAACTCTAGCAGATGGCCTAGTTATCTATCGGATAAAGGGATCTTAAGAAAAAGTTAATTGCCTCCTATTCCTTTGCAATTTCTGAAATAAGAAACCACACCATATTTTCAAGAAAGTTCAGTGTTCCAAGTGAGACAAGTACTACTGCTCTCCGGACCACGTCAATCATCAGGGATCCTATCTACTCCGCTTCATGAGGAGATTGAGTTCAGTGGCTTTAGTGCTACACCACCGAATTAGTCGGTATTGAAAAAGTTCCTATTGAGTAAAAGCTGAGTGATCACATCCTTTCCCTCATTCATAACTCAACACCAAACTGGACAGATCGCAACGTCCTCTGAGCAGCTTTGTGTGTTCAACAGCGTTGAAATTCAATTTCCTGACGGGGCGCCGCCAGATTTGGCAAGCAAATATGACCCAAGAACCCTGGTTGGCACCCAATAACTTGATACATCGTGAACTACATCGATGGAGACAGTCACCATCTTGTGAATGCACTCTACTGACCAATGCACCTTCCGTGACCGCTCACCTTCAATGGGTTTGAGCCAGTCATGCCGTCTACATGTTAGATTTTTCGGACGTTCCGGAAGAATATGAGGCAAAATGCATGATAGAACTAGGAGAAGCAACTGCAGCGGTTAGCAGAACTCTGTACATGACTGTACAGAGCAAAGGTGGATTTGGTGTGGGGCAAGTAGCGCTGGTAACCTTGCTTATGATCTTAGTCTGGGTTTCGGATCGGATCACGCCCACACTTATTGGTTCGGGATTAAACAATGAAAAATGCTAAAACACACCATCCTACGCAATTCTTTGCACACGCCAAATCGCATTCAGTAGTATGATCCTGGGTCCAAAAGAAGCATGGCGCACTGGAAAAAATTGATCAACGCCAGATGCTTTTCCCATTTTGGATCTATGAAAATCCCCTTCTCGTTACGCTCCTCGGCGACACAACTCAGCCTTCAGCTCCTTGACGAAATTAGAGTTATGAAATTGAGCGCGAGTATGGCAACCTCGAGGGAATCGCGGACAACTGTATGTAGATCTTGCTGCGTTGATAAGTGAACGTCATCGAATTGCGTCATAAAATTACGGTATACAACTTGCTATTTTTGTACCCATGAACTGTTTTTGGGTGGGCCAACTCAAATTGCTCTAGCATCTTCAAGTTGATTGATCCTCGATTTGCCACGCTAGAGAACACATTCGAGCCCTCCGTCGCCGACGGAGGGCTGTGTAATTGCTAAACGAGCCGCGGTTAATTTCTTCAATTTGATCGCAATATATTGAACAGAAATTGCCGAGGAAAACAGCGCAAACCCGTGAAAGGCATTTGGAAGCACAGGAAATTCAAGCTTCCTTCAATATTCATAACTTCGCAAGCTGGGACTCACAACCAACACAGCGACTAGCAATAGCACCGTAGGAACCAAAACATGGAAGCTTTAGCGAACTTAATGTCTTTTACGTGATCCCAGACTAGTTCTAAAAGTAAGCATCGCTAAATAGGCTCATCCGAAAAATATTCTAGTAATGCGAATCGGTCTTGGGATATTCAACAACTCCGAAGCATTCACGACTGGGCAGTTCTCGAGTAACGGATAGTGCTTGCTAGCTCAGGAATGACAACTTATGTGAGCTCTTTTGATGCCCCCCCCCCAGGTCACCTTATCAGTGCATAAGGTTGGATTGGGAAAGCTTTCATGCCATCAGGAGCTGTTGTCAGGGAGCCCGAACGGCCCAGGAATAGCCATTTTCGTAGCAACGGGGAGGATTGAAAAACGCGCCAGATAGCGCTACTTTTTCGATAAAGTCTCGCCTTACTCCAGGTCAGGCAGGCGAATCAGGGAGGGAGTAAATCTCTTTCATTTACCACACTCTGCAGGCCTTCCGACTTCCGGTTTGCATTCTTTCGAAATAAACAGCACAAATTCACATGATGACAACCCTGATTCTATGCACGTTCTGCCTCTTACAGAAGGGCGGTGTTAATGCATTTGAATACCCCAAGATAAGGACCAGAGGCAGCATGGCAAGAAAATAGACTATTTTTCAAGAATGAGCGAGAAAAAATAAAAGAAAAATTGGAGATAAGGCGCAATAAGAAAAGGGGAGGAGGGAAGACTGGCCTAGGGCAATAGAGGTGGCATGGTAATGCGCGAGCACAGATGAAAGTGTTCAAAAAGCACTTTGTTTGAAATACTGCGCTATCCAGGAGGATACTAAATTGTAACATAATAGAAGGTAACTGCTACAATTTCAGCGAAAGATCATTTTCGCGAACTGTTACACCACAGACTGAGGGAACATTTCGAGTTAGGCTTTAGAGAGATCTTGTTTTTGTTTCGTTCTTTTTGATCTCGATCATTCTATCAGAACTAACCCACTCTGTTGTTGTCATAGCGCACCAATGAGTGCAAAGATAAATAAAATAAATAATTAATTAAATGAATAAATTAAATTGTCCACCACGGGGTCTTCGTCGATGGACATTTTGACCCGTGACGTAGACGATGTTCTCGAGCACCTTGTACCACAGGGGTTGCGGGCTCTAGTTCAATACAAAGAACCCGCGTGTGTTGCATGAATGGCTCGTCAAGTAGCCACGTTTCCGCTCTATCTGCACTACCTCAAAACACATCCGCTTGTCGATCACAAGCATAATATTAACGGCACACATAAAATAAATCATCGTTCAAACGAACGATTAAGCAGTAATGAAGTCACTTGCTTACAACAAAGCTCGTCCAACTAATGTGATGACGCGTGGTTTTGAAGTCAGACAAAGCCATGTCCGATAGATATCGCGAATGTTAGAGAGTTGCAAGTCTGAGTCGGCAATTGTCGAGAAGAAAATAAATCAGGACTCCAGCAGGAAGCGAGAACGTTTAGTACACTTTCATTAAGAGAAAAAATTGTATGTTCGCAACAGGAACCCGTCTGAATAACTGAGTCAGCTTGGTAAAAGACAGCCATTCAGACGGAAATAATTGTCTGACCTAGTCAGAAGTTAATGAGATGTGAAGAAAGGCAGTGGATGAGAGCTTGAAACACTTATCAATCATTTCATAAGAATACTGGGTTACGAACGAAGCTCTCGCCAACTACGTGCTAACTTGTAGCGCACTTACCCGCAGGGTGAATAACGGTCGAGGAATTCCTCGACCATAGCTCTCTACTGTGCGAGAGTAGTGCCGAGAGTGAACATCCGCGCGGAGAGCACAGACGGCACGCATGGCGAGTGTGAATGTCCGCGCGAGAGATCGTGTCTGATCAGGCAAAAATCCTCGACGTGCCGTTGAGGAATCCTCGATCGAAATTACCCTGCTTGCCCGGCAAGCGAGAGGTGCGGGTTCTAGTCCCGCCTGGGGCGAAAGTTTTGTTCACAACCCAGCATTCTTGTGAAACATTCGCAACGCGAACTGCGGCGTTAAAACAGCAGTTAACAAACAAAACAAGTCAAACTATCAATAATTTGTAGTACCTAATCTATGATACCAGTTATTTCTCAGTAATAATGCAAATGCTTAAACATTGTCGCCCGACTGGCTAGGCCAGCACTCTTTAGAATTCGGAAAAAGTAACCGCTGTTCAATAAAAAGATAGTAGAAAAAATTATTGAAATATAAATTTACCACGACAAGCTTCCATACAGGTGCCGACTCGGCTATCACAGTTGTAACTGGAGAACATCCGGCTAGTAACATCAGTTTAGTCGGAGGTGTATAGAGTAAGTCAAAAAGTTGCTGAGTGGCTAATCCGGCTTGGCACTGAAAGATTTTTTTTTAGAATATTTTAACCCATGTGAATTTCAAAATTTACCTTCGAATTGCTAGTATTCATATGAAGGACGTAACCGGGTAGCACATCTTTTCTGTTGTTGACATCCTCCAGAGCCATTTGTACAGCAGGTAAACATGCCTTTAATCAATGCATCACGTGAGAAATGGAGATCAGAAACCAAAAATAGAAAGAAGAAAAAAAACAAGGGAAAAGGAGAATGCTGTTTGTACCTGACCACCGGCCCATCCCCCTGAACCGGCTTCCATGGGAAATGTGCCGCCGATATGCAACGGTACGGGGTCGTCGGCATGTAATGGCCCCAAGGCCCCGACCAAAACCAGCCACGACAATACAGTCATAGACGCATCGCTATATCGTATACTGCAATAGAGAGTTCTACTAAATTGACAAATTGTTCATTATCGATTCCGATGTTGCAGAAAAGTGACACATCAGGTTAAAGTGGAAGCACGACGGAAGTGGCAGCTGTTAAATGGCCGCCAATGACCTAACAGTGACATCACGAATAGAAAACTGCAAAAAATACATAAAAGTCCGCCTAAAGTTAAACCGGTTAGCCACTGCATATCAGGGCGATTCTCACAAAGCCTCTAAGCCTTAAAACAGTAACGTAAAAGGTTATTTTCGTGTGGTAATGTCTTCAAATAGACGAAAATTTGGAGAAAATTCAATTTTTAAGGGCAACAAAGAAATAGTGAATACTTTAGTAGACTTCACTGGCCCTTCAGCAAAATATTCAAAGAAACACTCACCATTTTTTTCCGACTTGACCATTTGGTTTTTTTAAGGTGACGTCAAAACTTGATAGAGCCTTTTTCGTGACTTCTCACCTTCCCCTCCCCCCCCCTTCTCCCGAATCTATTCAAAAAATTAAAATGCACAGCCGATATCAGAAGATTGTAATAGTTCTCGGATTACTCCCGGGATGAATGTGTAGTGACAGGGCAGGGAAAAAGTTGATATAGTGTGTACATAGGAGCGATGTGATGTTATGACGTTATGACAGGTCGTTGGGGATTTTAACTCATAAATGCGACAAAAAAAGTTGAACAATTGAAAGACCTTAAATGAATTTAGAAGCAAATGAGAAACCAAACAATTCTATTATACATTCTGCAGTTAGGACGAATAAGTGGCCGTTGGGCAGAGGAAAGAGGTGGATCGGTCTTGAGACCGAGACTTTGCTCATGTCATTGCGCCTTCGAAAGGTTGCTCATGCCAAGAGGGTATGAAGAAGTTATCGATGAGGTGAGAGAGGCAAAGAGTAAGAGTGGTCTTGAGGTCTACTTCCAAGTGTCGAACTCCAGTCCTAATGAGCAGTCTTGGGTCTGTTGCTTGGCACAAAAACAAAGCTGAGGACAAGGCTCAAATGGCGCGATGTAAAGCGATAATCAAAGTGGCGTTTGGCCCTTCGAGATCGACGTCATATGTCATTAATTGTGTGTAATACGTATGTGAATTTGTATGAATAGAGGGACGGGGCAAATGTGCGCCCTCACCCCCGTCTGAGTGGCGAATGACCCGAGATGCCACCTCCCTCCCACTTTCTGCGGCCGCCGCGATCACCGCTATCGGCCGACGATGACGACAACGGCGACGACGGAGCCGGCACCCGACCATGCCGCATATTGGCCCATCAACAATAATGGCTGCTAATTATCATTTACTGCAGTGCAGTCTCGAATGATGAGAATTCCATGACAAAAAACAGCGAAAATCTAAAGATGAGTGTGAAAATAAAGACGAAAAAGGTGTCGAACAAAATTAAATTTCTGAGCAGATATTCGAGAGATCCAGTAGAAGCACCATTAAGTAGTCATAAAATTAATCCTGCTCGACTGTTTAGAAACACCACAAGTCTGGCCAAAGTTCGCAGGAAAAACTTATGAAAGGTTGTGGGATTTCATGGTCCAGATAATGTATCAGTTCAAGGCAATTCCGCCTGCTGATAATGTTGGAAAGGTGTGTCTTTTGATAGTAATGGGTGGGACCATATGGCCCAACCGTCCTGGTAGACCTTGCCAGAGAGCAGATGTGCATCAGTGCAAAAAAAACCCTCATGCGTGGCTGCAAGGCAAAGAATCGAGGTAAGGTCGGCATAACAAAATAGGCGATTCTCACTAAAAAGTCAGCAAAGGTTAGGGTTAGGGTTAGGGCCTCAGCCTGAGAATTGTTAATGCAAACCTCAAAAATCCTCAATCGATACGCTTTTCATGTATGATAAACACAGATTTTATTTAGTACCCGAATCAGTGGACATTATTTGTTACCAACAGTAAAAAACTACTACAAAGAGCAGCTCAAGTCAACAATAACACTGCGAGGTGCAGCAGCAAGAATCGGGGAAACGATCACACTACAACTTTGAAAGTTTACCTTTTCAGCAAACAGATTCCGCTCAAACCCAACAGCTCCTCTCCTTTCCTATCATTCTTCATCCCTCCAATATTTCGTAGATATTATTTATATCTTGGGTTTGAGCATAATATCGTAGCGCTTGCATTTTTCATTTCTTCACACAAACATTTGAAGCAAAAAATAAAAACATAAAACTAATCAGTGATGTTCACTTCGTCATTATTTACAACTTTGATTGCATTTCGCAGGAGATCACCGGATATAGAATTTAAAAAAATATTGAGCTCGTTTTTGGAGTCCTTATTATTCTCAATTTTTACAAAATGAATATGGTCTCAATTTCAGCTAAAAACGTAAGGTACTAATGGCTCGGCGCGGCTGCGGCTTTCAACGACATGTAGATAAACGACTGGTCACGTGTAGGCCGTTTCTCAGCATTATTTACATACACTAAATGTTTTGTGCTTACTTTGGAATCCTCTATGATAGGAGCGTTCTCATTACTTCCGCTTTCCTGTATGCATTCTCTTCCTATGAAGCGGCATCTCTTCAAGGCACTAACTAAATGAACACAATAAATAAATAATATGTTTGTTTGAACCTATGATGGTAGAATTCCGAACTCTATCGTTTCAGAGATATTTCTTCCACGAGAATCAGTTTCGTCGGAGTTTAAAACGTACCTACAAGCAGTTGTTTCAAAACAGCTGATTGTCACCTTTTTCACCACCACATCACCTTTTTCTTGGTTTTGCTTGTCGTTTTGGGCAACAATGCATCATCAGTAATGCATTTGGTGCACAGCATAGCAAACGTGAAGAATGAAAAGAGCGCAAGCGAAAATATGAAGAGCATAAAGTTGATGAAGAAATCATCGCTTGGTCCCGTGATTTTGAAAGCCTTTCAGAAGCTTCTCATTCACGTTCATTTTCAAGGGTCGCCAATGCTGACAAATTCATTATTTCCTACGGACACATTCTGCATAGTTAGGTCGCTAATCTAGGCGTGTGTTGAATTTTTCTAGCAGTCAACTTTGTATTTATACGCACGCCGATTGTCTTAGGCGCACCTTGAGTGCAATAGTAAATAAATAAATAACATGTAACAATAAATTTTACATGTATAAGTGATGTAAGGCCCTAATTCAAAACAAGGAAAATTAAAGTAGACTAAGTGTTGCATTGTGACATTCTGAAGGATCGAAACATTTTTTCTTTCACCAAAATTCTCACTTAAAACTGGACCCGTTCAAATCACTTCGTTCAGATCTTTTGTTGGGACGAAGTTCTGGGCATAGCTTGCTCAACAGTCAAGCATGATTATAACCGAATTATCCCGATTATGTACCTTCCTCCACCCCATTTTCTAGGTGACCAGAAATATGTAAGTTGCCCGAGCGAGGTTAGGGGAGGGGCAAGGTTCAGACTGTTTAAGAAGGATCTCGATGTTCTGGAGAGAATGAAACGAAAAAATTGCAGTATGATGAAGGATGAACCTCCCGAAGAAAAAAGAAAATCTTCATGAAAAAGATTTGTTTGCGGAAGGGATTTCCACAACCGCTTGAGTGAATTTCTAGAAGCGCATAGTCCTCAACTTCTAAAACACTCAAAAACTAACGAGAAATCGACACTGAAGTAAGTTAGGGCCACATAAACCAAAAGAAAAACCTGAAGCGCCACTCTAAAAAAAGTCCGAACGGGCTTAATTTTTTAATTGATAAATGTTCATGACAGTTTCAATACTTTGTAGAAAACATGAACCTTGAAGTTTGTCGTATTGGCTTCGGATTCTCAAATTTATCACTTTGAAGAAGGACGTGATCATTTCAAGGTTGACAACTTGCGGTTTCAAAAAATAGCCTCACAAAACCCTTAAAAATTCCAACGAGACTAATTTTTGAATCGATAGTTTTTAAATAAGAGTTCCAGTACCTTTTAGAAAGCTTGAATCCTGAAGTTTGTCGTACTTGCTTCAGCTTCTCCAAATAAATGAATTTGAAGGAAGTTGTGATCGTTTGAAGGGTAAAAGCCGACATACGCACGTAAAAAAGTACAAACGTGCTAACTTCCAATAAATAGACTTTCAAGATACCTTAGACTTTCAAGGTACCTTTCACACAGCATATAAAACCAACAAGTCAGCACTTTGTAAATTCAACGGAAACATTCATACAAAATAGACCAGAACGATAGATAGATAGATTAAATATAATATTTATCAATAGATTTACCAGAACGATGTCAAAAACTATCCAGCTCAAGTTGAGCGCCCTTGTAACAGCTGTGTGCTACTTTTCTTTGCGGTTTTTCTTCAGTTTGATTAGTGTCAGAATTGCTTTATAGCCTGCCTGAAGACTCAAGGAGATATAAGGATAAAGGATAAAGCATTTGCCGTTGATCAATCCCTTTTTGGGATGCGGCACGCATTCTACTTCCATTTGTACATTCGTAGTGGCGTTTGAATGCGATGTGGCCTATACAATGACTTGCGGGGGCCAGCCGATGTACAAGTCAGTGTTTTTATCCTCCCAGACAAGTCTGGTACCAATTAACCGACCCCGGAGGGATGGAAGGCTTGGTTGGCCCGGGCGACTCACGACCCAGGATTTGATCCCCGGACCGCTCGCGTGGTAAGCGTGCCACTTGCCACTACACCACTTCCGCCCTGAAGCAGAGATAAATATTTGAAAGGTTATAATTCGGTGTGTTAAGAGCAATCCGGAAATCAAAGCAGCATTCCCCTCTCCTGTGTTTACAGATCCACATGATTTATTAGATTGGGGCTTAAAGCAACAGTCCAGGCAGGGTTTCAACTACTTGGTCAGTTACAGCGGTCAGAAGCGTGCCCACCACCCAACCAATAGTTTATAGAAATGGCAATTTACTGAATCAAAATGCAATCTTAGCTATCTAAGAAGGCACGCTGGCATGAGGGGATCCAACATTCCTGGAGGAAGAAGACCGAGGGGAGCGATCCACTC